GGCGGTGGAGGAGGCGGCAGGGGGGGTGAAGGTTGTGAGGCAGTGTAAGGGGTGAGGATCTTAGTTTGAGGGGACAGAGGGGGCATGAGTGAAGTGTAGGACCGATTCATAGATTCCATTCTGGCCTAGAGGGAGTAGAGAGGGCAGCGGGAGGGAGAGAAACAGAACAAAACAGTTACAGAGGTAAGCAAGCTCGGACTCCATCAAACTAAAAAGCAAGGGGTCTAGGGCATGCATGAAGAGGATGCAGCGGTTGGTGATTATAAAGACAATGTCAGGAAGGTTAAAATCTGATTCCCTAGGTAACAAGGACACAGAAAATTAGTTTTACCCTGCAATATTCTTTTAACAGCTACACTGCCTAATCGTCTAGGAATGAGTTCCTGTTGCAAAGCCATTTGGGTGGTGACAGGATGTATGATTTCTGACCTTGGCAATGGGACTGTCACAAACCCTGCCCCAGGCCCTCCTGGGCTCCAGAGTTCAGTCCATGACTGCATCCACATCAAGCAGATGGAGTCCTAGGGGAGGGGACGCTCGCTCGCTGGTGTGGGGCTCCCGAGGAGTGAGGACGGCTTTTTGACTCTAGTCAGCTGACGCGTGAGCATGAGAATGCTCAGCAGCTGTGCAGTCCTACGGGAGTGAATGAACTCGACACACACACTCTGGTGTGGAAGCGCTTGCATCCAGCATGCACAGAAGTCCAGCAATGCAGGTAAGGGGGAGCATTTTTTACATTTGCTTTACTGGAAAATACATAAAGAAATGTGTTGTAAACATTACAGCAAAAGATAAAACATCATACAGAAAAAGCCGGATGAAAACCAGAGGGAACTCTGGAGAGCTAACGGGACTCATCAGCAAGCAGGAACCGGGGTCTGCCCTCCGGGTGGCACTCAGCGCTGCTGACATGACTAATTCTGGTTGTCTACTGCCTGAACCAACCATGAACAAGTCTGTGGTTCAAGGACTTCTGAAATAAGGAAAGGAAGGAATTTTGATTTAATAACTTTGGGAACACCTCTTAGGCTCTTCGAACAACTGGGAAGACATGAGGTGACCCATCGGTTTTCCATCACAAATGATGTCTAATTGGCACTGAGGGGACTTAAGTTAGTGAACTAAAGTGTTCATTCATAGGGCTGAATTCTAATGTCTACCAGGACGTTCCCACGTTTCTCTAAACATCATACATCAAAATCAAAGCATTAGTTTGTAAGATTTGGTTATAGGAGTCACCCAGGTTAATGTGTTTCAGAGAATAGACCCTGACCTTAACTTGACCCTGTCTTGGCTGCTTCAGGGATGCAGACCTTAGCTGTGCTGGCCTTCTCATGTGGCACCTGAGACTGAGGTAACAGAAGAAACACACAGAAGGATCAAGACTCAAACAAACTGACATTTCTGCAGAACGGGGGTCATTCTCTTTCTGAAACCACAATGACAGACTTGTTTCCTAATTACAGGGCATCTGGGTCTCACTGTTAATCATGTTTAAGGTAAAAGCTTTTTGTTTTTGACAGCAGTGGGAATTTACCCTGCAGTTTTGTGCACGCTAGACAAGTGCTCTACCACTGAGCTACATCCCCAGCCAAGGCTGAGATTTTCTTCTTCAGACATTTGAAATTACATAGACTACTGTTTCTAGTGTATGCTTAGAGTATTCGTTTCATCTAAATTGGTTCACAAGGAACTGGGATTGGTGACATAGTCCTACTTGGGAGGCTGAGACAAGAGGATTACATGGTGAAGGACAACCAGGAAAACTAAGTGTGACAGATTATCTCAAGACATTAAAAAAAAAGACTGGGACGCAGGTCCGTGACAGAGGGTTTGCCTAGCATGTGCAAGGTCCTAGGTTCGATCCCCAGTACTTGGGGGAAAGGACTCTAGGGTGGAAGAGATTTATTAAAATTTCCTGATAGGGGAGTTTTAACTGTGTTTCAGTAATTTAGGTTATTAAAACCAATTACTGACTACCCATTTTCATACCTCCCACCATGCCAGTTAATCAACCACATATGCAAATTATGTAATTAATTTGTTTTAAGGACAAATTTAAATGTTCCTTTTGATTCTCATTTGTGAATGTGCTTATATCTGTGACTCAGACCAAAAGAACAACAACAAAAAAAAACCCTAAAAAACTAAAAACAAGAACAACAACAAAAAAACCCCAAAACAAAATGCTGACTGTATAAAAAGCAAAATAGTCCAGGCAGGGCGTCACTCGTTCCTTGGTGGAACACACCCTTTCTGATTTAAGTGGTGACTACAGCCAGAACACATCCTTTCTACAGGAATTCTGAGGCTATTTGACAAAGAACTACCATGTCTTCCAACTTAACTAAAAAAAGCCTCTAAGGTAGCTCTCAAATCTTAGCAGAGAAGTTTCTCTGTGCGGTAGAGTGGTGAATGCAGAAACTCAGCAGGTCAAGTGCAGAGAGGAAGTGACCACGGAGGCCCAGCTACAAAGGGGACACCTGTATGTCACAGCACCTCTCCTCAAGGCCCAGGGACCGTGATGGAAGAGGGAGAAGGAAAAGTTTAAGTTGGAGAGGACCCAAGTGGAATAATGTCTTCAGGGCATGAGAGAACCGCTGGACTAATGAACTCAGCTGTGGTTGCCTGCCTCAAGGCATTCTAGCAGAGTGGGAGGGGGGTCATGAGCCCCCATCCCCAACTGGGGAGCAACTGACAGCTGGAGGCTTCTGGAAAATGGAAGAGCCAGTTTTCTGTCACCGAGTGGCTCCTGTAGAATGACCCACGTTCCAGTGGATAGCCACCTATGTATCTGTCAGCAGCACAGACTGAACTAAGTGGATTTTTTTAAAGAAAAAAAGGAAATGAGATTAGGAGGTGAGGTGGTTCTGGAAGGAGTGGGGGTTATTCTTAAAATACTTTGTATTTATGTCTGAAATTTTCATATGTTAAAAAAAAGGAAAAGCTCGCAATATTATAGTCTGTATAATATTACTGAATATTGTCCAAGATTCAGGAACCCAAAATTTTAAGAATGATTTCTGCATAAAACATATCTTGAGAAAATTTATTGAGGCCTATAGGCATACCTCAAGACTGAAAGTAAGGAATGAATCTGAATTAATTAAAAAGGAAAAAGAATTGTGAGCAACTTCTCTGGAGCTTTGGGCAATGGCACTGCATGGTGTCGCTCCAGCCAACCGGTGACAGTTGGAGGGGTGTGTGTGTGTTATAACTTAAAAATGTAAGCCGCTGATTCAAGTGTGTAAACAACTGCCCCTAAAAAATGAAGATCCTAGGTCACTGGTCATGACAGACAACTCTAAAATGGTTTCCCCACTCTGATGAAGATGACTGAAGATCTAAGAAGGAAGACAAATCATGCCAAATGAGACTAATAAGGACTAAAGGAACACAAGCTTAGCCAGTGGACGACCACAGGTTTATATGTAAATTTAACGTGTGTTACCTTGCTGGACTCTTCCAGCTGAGTACCACGCTTCCAGGCTTCCGAGAAGATGGAGCTCACAGTGCTTTGGGAACGGACGTGTCCTGTTGGCAGGGTGTCAGAGACTCCACTGTCAGACTGGTTGGAGTGATTTGACTGAGACTCTGTTTAAAATAGTTAAAACTTTCAGCAGTTACCATTTGATCTATGGATATGCACATTTTAAATGTTACGGTTAAGGACTAGGTAGAATGGCAAATCGACTTCTCTTACTCTAGATTCAGAAAATACAGTCTAGTAGAAAAACCTTATCTTACAGTTAGTTAGAAAATTTGACTCTTTAATTTTTTTTTTTTTTAAATTGTTCACCATGAGAGACTGACACAAGTCATTAGGACCCTGAAAACCTGTCTTGGATAAAAATCTACTCTGAACAGGTTTAAAAAAAAAAAAAAAAAAAGAATTGATGAGCCATCAATTACATCTACATTATTTTAAGAATCAGTCTTTTTCAGGCCATTTCCGAGCAGCTTCTAAATTCAGACCCTTCTCTAGCAATCAACAGTATTTAGTGAGTCCTCCAACTGAGAAGAAAGTGTTTTTCCCAGGGATTTAGGTCCTGGCACCGCTGAACAGCAGCCAGGCCAGAGCTAGCTTCCAGGCCGGGTGACAGTGGGGAGCAGGCACAGGGGTTGTGGCTGAGGGTAACATGCACCTCAAACTGACGTCTGGACTGGAAGAGCTGGAAAGATGACTTCTCTGGATTCTAAGGTAATTATGTATGTACCTTAGGTGATGCCTGGCAAGCAGTGGAGACTCAAAGCTGTTCCCAGCCATCAATCACTTTGTGAAGAATGGAAGCTATTAACCTAAGTTCAGTAGCCTAAGCCCCAAGTTCTTCATTAAGGCTATTCTTAAGGTAAAAATCAAGGAATATGATGAAAATCTATGACACTAAAGCTCATTTATTACCCCTGTCTAACAACAGACTGGGAGACTGGAGCACATGGATCTTTGGGCTCTTATGTTTTCCCCTGGAAAGCCTAACATTTCAATAAAGTGGACAAGGACACCAGTGAAGGAAAGGCGCAGTATTTCTGAGGGAACGTAGGACATGGACTTAAGTGCTGCATGATGTGAAAACAGAATACACCTTCCTCAGCCTGCTGGCCTTCTCTGAATCCTACTTGCTGCACGGTTTTCTTACCTTGGTCTTTCCAGTCCAACTTTCTAGAGTATTTTTTCCACTCTAATGAACATCTCATTTTAGATTTTTATATATTACTTTCATATTAGAATAGAGTAAGCTTGCATTCTTACTGATTCAGCACCTACTTGTCCCATAATTCTGTTTAAATTTATAGTGCATTTGCCACAGCCATGAAGTGGACACTGATTTACTAATAACCACATGCCACACTACACGTATCCATATTCTGGTCCAGGATGCCACATTATAGTTGGTTATCTTGAGTCCTCTGACAGTTGCTCCAAATTTTTTTTTAAATGATTTTGATAGTCTTGAGAACTACTGGCCAAGTCTCATCACACTGTATCAAGGGACCCTGTGACTAAAGCTGCTTGTCTGCTTTCCCCACTGTGAAGTTACTGCTTTCTCAACCCTATTCCTTTTTAAGGAAATTGCTATGTGTAGGTCTTTTTTTTTTTTTTTTTTTTGGTTTTGGTTTTTTCGAGACAGGGTTTCTCTGTGTAGCTTTGCACCTTTCCTGGAGCTCACTTGGTAGCCCAGGCTGGCCTGGAACTCACAGAGATCCGCCTGCCTCTGCCTCCCAAGTGCTGGGATTAAAGGCGTGCGCCACCACGCCCGGCTATGTGTAGCTCTTTAAGAGGGCAAAGTGTATACAGAAATCATTTAGAAATATTTTATTCAGAGACGGGTAATACCTGGGGGGCACTCACCAACCTAAGACAGAGCACCTGTGTGGCCTGGGCAGGTATCTCCATGACGGGTAAGGTGACCTGCTGACATTCCACGCAACCCAAGTCAGAAGCTCAATTTTTAGTAAAAGGGCCCCGTTTTGGGTGACTGTTGCCTTGCTTGCTGACCTTGACCTTGATATCTTCCCTATGCTAATTCCCTGCCGGGTTCCACCCTCCTGAAATGCTTAAGGAAAGTTCCTTGTCTGTGTATCCTGCATAATGGGCGTTAACAGCTTAGATGCAAGATTGTAAAACATCTGTAGGGAACTTCTGCCCTCCGGGGTTCTCCCATTGTGCTGTAAGACTGTATTTAAGATCTCCTCCCTCCTTCAATAAACAGCATT